TACGAAAATTGCATAAAAAATCATATTAATCTATTTTTAAGAAAAAAAATAGCAAATACTTAATTAATCACGTGCTAATGGAATGCTCCGTTTTCCGTGCATGCTGTGTGGGTTGGGAAGCCAGACTAACGAGCACAGCCTTAGCGTACATGTGTTTAACACCACTTGTCCGCTTGTATAGGGCCTGTTTGGCACAACTCTAGCTCCTAACTTCAACTTACCTAGAGCCAGAGCTGTGCCAAACGGTCCAGATTCTCTGTTTTTGGGGTGGAGTTAACGGAGCTACTCCTAAAAAATGAACTACAGGGGTGGAGATAAGTTTTTACTGCTCTACAACTCCACTCCAACCCAAAAGACATATTACCCTTTAATTTTTTAACATATTTTTAAAAATATACCATTGAACTACCCCCAAACTCTCCTCCTCACCTCCCCCCGCTCTCTCCCCCGAAACTTCATCTCCCACGGGCGGGCAAAGGCGGCGGGCCGATGGCGACGCTCCTGCGGCGGCGGCGGGCGGGCGAACGGCGGCGGCGGGCGATGCGAGCAGCGACAGCGCACGGGCAGCGGTGCTTGGCGGGCCACGCACAGGCGGCAGCGGCGGCGGCGTCGATGGCAGCGCTTCGACGGGGGCGGCGGACGACGCACAGGCGGCGACGGTGCTCCGACGGGGGCGGTCGGCGCGAGCGGGGACAACGGGCGATCGGCGCATGGCCTGCGACGGGCAACACGCCGACGCGGGCGGGCAGGTGGTGCAAGGGAGGCAGCGCGCGGAGAGGACGCTCGGGCGGCGCACGGCCGGCGGCGGGCGGTGTGCGCAGAGACGATGCTCGAGCGACGCACAGCCGATCGATAGCGGGGATTCCTTTTTTTTTCTTTTTTTTTTGATATTTTTCAGATTTGGAGTTAAAGGTTACCAAACACTTTTGGGTGGGTCTCCAACGCTAATAGGAGCTAGCTCCAACTGGTGTAGGAGTTTAGAGCTGGGAGTTAGAGTTTGGAGCCCTACCAAATAGGGCCATAGTTGCACTAGTTTGAAAACTGATATTCTATTCCCCACCAAAATGCAAAGCATAATTAGAGGCGAGTGATATTTACGCATGAGAACAATTTAAGTTCATCAAGAACACAAGAGTTTAAACAAAATCGTACTAATATATCAACTTTTAGGAGTTCAAATAAAACTATACAAATATAACAACTTTTAGCTAGGTATCTCGGCATTTAAAAATTATTATACATTAGAGCGGATGACGCGGATCGGATGTAGAGTATATTAATTGAAGAATCAACACAATTCTTACTAGCAATGTAATGTGCTATTTGTACTTTTCATTTATCGAAAGAGCATCGATTTAGGCAGGCATCCGTTTATAGGTTAGTGTTGATACATGAGAACACCATATTACCCTATTCAACTACTACCTCTGTTTTTTAATATATGACGCCGTTGACTTTTTCTCACATGTTTGACCATTCGTCTTATTTAAAAATTTTATGCAAATATATAAGATATAAATCACACTTAAAGTACTATGAATGATAAAACAACTCATAACAAAATAAATTATAATTATGTAAATTTTTTGAATAAGACGAATGGTCAAACATGTGAGAAAAAATCAACAGCGTCGTCTATTAAAAATGGAGGGAGTATTATGTTTGTCCCTTCCAACTAACAGATCGGTTTAGTTCACCTTCTTTAGCAAAAACTAGCTCTCCCCAAGGGCCAGGGTACATTGAATAGATTTATTATTTGAGGTGCATAAATATCTACTCTCTTCGTCTCATAAAGGCTCTATTTTTTGGCTTTTAATCTCTTCGTCTTATTTAAATTTTTTTTATGATTAGTATTTTTATTGTTATTAGATGATAGAAGATGAAAAATACTTTATACATGACTATTTGTTAATATTTTTTTATAAATTTTTTAAATAAGATAAATGGTCAAACGTCGAACACAGAAACATAAAAATAAAATCTTTCTGAAACGAAGGGAGTACTATACAAGTGGAGAAGGTGTTTGTTAGACAGATCTAATAGTCGAGACCCGTGCATATAATACTATTAGTAGCATTAGTACTATTAGTAGCATGAACTAAGCTGAGGGTTCTTTCTTTCTTTCTTTTAACTAGGGCACAGTCTCCTTCATGGGTTTGCACATACATGCACGTACAATATATAGCTAGCTCGTCAAGAAATTAGGAAGTGAAAAGCTATCTCATATGTGTCACAGTGTGCATCTATGCAGCTAGCTAGCGCACAGTACCAATCACCGCTCCATTTCACTTTTTTTCATGTGACCTATAGTGAGTACTCCGGTACGGGAGAAATCATGCCGAAAGCATGGTTTATGTCTTGATGTGTGTTCTACTAAATGGTCGCATCCCTTGGGACCAGCTCCAAAAGCCTATAGCAGCTAAGCTAAGCTAATCCTGCCCTAACTAATCACCGCAAAACAGCAGCTTTTTATCAGAACACCAGCAGCACAAACCCGTTCAGATTAAGATTCCCATGATCAGATTACTTAATCGCTAACCACTGCATCACCAATTGTTAATTGCTCTTTACACGTACTACTTCTGCTACACTTGCTCAGTCCAGGCCGGCAACGCGGAGCCAACCTGTTCCAAGCGAGCCGCTGGGGCGAATGCTTGCATGCAGGTTGCACGTACTCCAGCTGTAAAGAATTGGGGCGAGTAGACTTGCGCCGAATGATTGCGCCGACCAGAGAGGCAGAGGCCACTGCACTGAACACTGAATCCTCTACCTCCAGCAGAATGATGGCAAGTGAAAGAATGATACCAAGTGAAAGTGCCATTCTTTAATCGAGCAAAGATGCCCTCTTTCGTTAACTGGTGAGTACTCCAGTGGTTACTGCGGTCTCAGCCCGAGCAGAGTATGAAATTCTTGCAAGAATTAACTCGGGCTCCTTTTGTACTGAAACACAAAATGGAGAACAACATGAACAGTAGACAGCTACTACTACTAGTAGGATTTCTTGGCAGTTGCATTTCAGTTAGGTAGAGGAAAGGAGACTACCAGTTGTGCTAGTTGGAGGTTGCAACGGGCGTCTCATCAGCGGAGCGAGTGCTAATTGACCGCTGCTTCACCGGAAAATGACGAGGCGTGAAAACGGCTGCCCACCTGCCCGCGAGCTAGGGAATAATGACATGGAACAACCAACGTCAAGGCAAAGTGTACGAAGATGGCGCGATCGCCTGAAGCTTTCCCGACCACTTCAACCAGTGTGTCGCGATCGGCGCGTCCGTCTCCGGCCGGCGTAAGCGGAGGTGGGGGCTAGGCTAGGCATGGGCAGCAAGTTGCGGCTAAACTATAGGACAATTGGTGAATCCCTCTCATTGTATTCAAATAAGCATTTTAAAATTTTAATTTTTTATCTAACATAAGTTTTTCTTTTCTGATGGTATCTACGAGCAGGTACAATAGAAGGCTATAAGCCAGCTATAACCACATATCAAGAAGAAAAGTGAAGAGAGAGAAGAAAGCGGGTTACATATTTATAGCTAGCTGCAACACGGACTCTAAAATATTATTTGTGTATGAGAGGTATAACCGGATATTAATGATGTAATATATTTCTATAGTTAACTATTGTATGAATGTGCTATTATATTAGATATATATGATTTGGAGTTAGTAGTTGGCTATACTATTAAACTTGCTCTAATATAAGTTTCTTTATACACTGAAATCAAAGTATTTTTAGCCAATTAAATGCTTAGAATTTAAAATTGAATCACGACAACGATATGGTTAACTCTTTTTGGAAATATAATACCAACACAGTCGCTTACAACATACACACTTTCACCTATATTAAAGTACACACGTATTCTATCCATTCATCTATATGAGCACCTGAATGACTGAATTTTTTTTATTAATCTTTACTAAATAAAAAAACAAATATTCATATTTACAAAGCAGTGAGTAGAGGTCGTCACTCATCAGCCCGGCTGCTCCTGCCATTTGTTTTGATTATCAGTGTCAACTGTCAAGTGTTCCGCAAATGGATATCCCTATCGAATCGAGCTGACGAGACTGAACGGTGTCGTGTTCTCATTGAAAGCGTTCACGGTTGGGTGGTCAAATGTCTGGTTACCTTCATTTTCACTTTAATTAACGTGGACTTGTTCTTCGTTTGAGATCGCTTTCGAGGCTGTGGGGGAGAATGCAGCCTACGTACTCGGACATAAGTTCTCCAATTGATTAATTTGTTTCAGCTTACTAATCCTCCTTTGAATGCCCCAACCACGTCAAAATTTAGCACTTTTTTCTCCTATAATTTATAGATTATTATGGCCAGTCTAAACGGTTAAACATTATAATTATTAAAAAACTTTATACAACTTTTAAACTTTACAATAGTTAATTCATTCATTTCTATCCTCAAATATTATCACAAAATCATACACAAATATAGTATAATCTATCCTCCCTTCATCATATTATAAGGTCACGTTTAGTTGTTAAAAATTTTTACCCTGCATGTCACATCGGATATATAGACACACATTTGAAGTATTAAATATAGTCTAATAATAAAACAAATTATAGATTCCGCTAGAAAATTACGAGACGAACTTATTAAGCCTAATTAATCTATCATTAGCATATGTTTACTGTAGCACCACATTGTCAAATCATGGCGCAATTAATCTTAAAAGATTTGTCTCGCATTTTCCTGGCAAACTGTGTAATTATTTTTTTTTCTACATTTAATACTCCATACATGTGTCCAATCATTCGATGTGATAACACGAAAAATTCTGTTTGGGAATTAAACATGCCTAACATAAAATTTTGTTAAGAAATCAAATCAAACATAGTTACATAGATTTGGTAGTGTCCAAATCAAAATCATACCGGGTAATTTCTCACTGTGGAACCAAAGCAGTGAGTAGAGGCAGACAAGCCATTAAACAAAGTGCAAATGATTGACTAATAAGAGCCCAATTAGGCACCTAAATTACAGCGTCCCTGTAACAAACAGCAGCTTGAGCTCACTGCGCTGCTCACCCCGTACTCGTCGTAATACTTTTTTTAATCTCTTCTCGAACAAACTCCCCCTTTTTATCACACACACACTCTCTCTCCTCTCTTTCTCGCCCGTTTCCCCACCACCACCACCACCACCACCTCCCCTCTCCCATTCGACCAAATCGGCGAGGGGAATAGCCCCCCCGCGCGCCGCGCCTCCTCTCGTCGCCGGCGATGGCCGACGGCGAGGCCTCCTCCGGCGCGTACAGGGAGTTCAAGGCGCTGACGGAGGCGGCGGACCGCAAGTTCGCGCGCGCGCGCGACGTGCCGCTCTACGGCGGCGGGGTGGACCACCACAGCCGGAAGGCGTTCAAGGCGTACACGCGGCTGTGGCGCCTGCAGCAGGAGCGGCGGCGGGAGCTCGTCGCGGGCGGGCTGCGGCGGTGGGAGATCGGGGAGGTGGCCTCCCGGATCGGGCAGCTCTACTACGCGCGCTACCTCCGCACCGCCGAGCCGCGCTCGCTCGTCGGCGCCTACGTGTTCTACGAGGCCATCTACAGCCGCGGGTACTTCGCCGCCGCGGCGCAGGTGGTGGTGGGCGGCGGCTACAGGCACCAGGGCCTCCTGATCCGGTACAAGGAGCTGCGGTTCATCGCGCGCTTCCTCGTCGTGGCCATGCTGATGCGGCGGGCCGAGGCGGTGGACCACCTCGCTTCCCGCCTCCGTTCGCTCGTCGAGGAGACCAAGTCGGCATACCCCGTAAGAAGCTTAGCTCCTCTCGTGCTTTGAATAGGGGAACCCCGAGTTAAGTTTGTGCGCTTGCTGTTTTGTATTTTAGGAAACCTAAGGAGTAAGGAGACCTTTTTAACTTCTAGATTAGAGTAGTGAAGAAGAGTGGGAACTTGTTGATTTGAAGGTTGTTTTGCCGCTTGGTTTTGAAATTTTGATAGAAGTGATATGTACAGTGCTCTTTTTTTTTTCTGTATAAAGAATTCTGATTGGGAATTTTGACCTGGACTGCTGCTTAATCAAGGGTTTCTATTTATTTCCCAATTCGATTATATGTAATTTAAAATGGCAAATTCGTTCTGGTAGTATGTAACTTAAAATTTAAAATCTTACTTTATTTGTGGTGAACTGAAGTAATACGACTGTTCAATGCTCGTCTTACCATTCGGATTTGGGATATTGCATTGCATGAGTCGTACATTTCATTAGGATAACGGATTTCGAATCATGTATGGTTTACAGTTTTAGCTGCTAAAGTAGAATCATTCTCTTTAGTTGGTTTGATAATTTTAAAGTTACTACGTACTAAAGTGTATGAACTAGAGCAATTTCACAAGCTCTATTACCTTTCAATAGCATATATATCACATTGTTTTGTCAGTGCTTAATTGAGAAATGATATGTTGTTTGAGGGTTGAATAATGAATGTTATGCTAAAACGATAGCTTAGCATTTAGGAGCCTATGACATGAGTGCCTTGTTACATATTTCCCATTTTCTTGCAATGTTATATATTTCAATAGAGAATCACATATTTATATCCTTTCTAATTAAAACACCTTGCCATTTAATTCTTCCATAACAACTTTGTGACCTCATACTTCTTAGAAAACCAACTTCAAGGAATGGAAACAAGTGCTTCAAGAGCTTGGGAGATTCTTGAAAGCTGATGGAGCATACAAGGGATCTAGATCACTGAGATATGACAACTTGTTTGACTCTTTTCCGTCGAACCTTGCACCTATTGCACGATTCCATTCAAAAAGAGTACTGAAACTGAAAGAAGCTGTATTGACAAGCTATCACAGAAACGAGGTCACATATATTATCCATCAATAATTGACCCACTTATCTTACTGTGAAAACAAGCTTGACATTTTGTAATATGTAATGCAGGTGAAGTTCACAGAACTAACTCTGGACACTTTCAGAATGCTACAGTGTCTGGAGTGGGAACCCACTGGGTCTTATCAGATTGCTGCCAAAGAGCTTACAGAAAATGGCACTATAAGTGATCAGAGTGGACCCTCTGGCCTGATTGATATCCACCTATCATCAGAAATATCTGATGGAAATCTTCCTGCAAATCCTCAAAAGGCAATCATATATCATCCTACAGTATCTCATCTTCTAGCGGTAGGTTGTTTATGCATGTTGTTCTCTTTGAAGCTCAGTTTTACATAAGATGGAAATCAAATCTTGATAGAATCACGGATCTTCTTTTAGGAGATTACTCTTGAAATGATATATTATGCTCACCATCCAGTGAACTGGATGCGTATTTTCCCCTTTAACAATGTCATTAGCTTTATATCAATACAATTGTCTGGTTGACGTTTGTGTTGGGTTAGCAAGTCTGTGCAAGTCCTCATCATGCCTGGATGTTGTCATAGTTAGATCGGCTGCTGCTGCACATTATAATTTATTTGGTGGTGGAACCACCCACTTATTTGGCAGTATACTGTACCATTTCTCATGACACAAATGGAAAAATGTGAGAATATTTCAGCTTTGCCAAGTTGCAGTGCTGATTGACAATGGGGTTAATTGTTGCAATCCATTGGAATGTACTTTTATTCATTCACGAGTTTGATGGTCCATATGATTTGTTCTTTTGCTATTTGAACCTTTTTTGTAGTGTTACATCAGAAATTCGTAATTTCAGGTTCTAGCCACAGTCTGTGAGGAGCTTTCTCAAGATAGCATCTTACTTGTCTATCTATCAGCATCAGGTTCCCTTCTTGATCTGACTCTGTAAAACATCTAGTAACATTCTTGTTTTGAGTAGTTATTAGGTTCTTACCCTTCTAACTTTAGTGATCAAAATTTCAGGTTTTTCCGAGCAGAACATTACTTCTCAAAAGTATGCCTCAAGCTCATCATATGCAAGGGCAACTTCCGTGTATCCCATCGATAAGCCAAATTCCAATGGCAATTCAGATAATCATCTATGGCTTGGTCCCCGTGGAAGTGGAGGTAAAGCATCTGTCTTCTTGTAGGGTTGATTTCTGGAATTATATCTCAGTGTAATGATATAGTTCAATTAAGCCCACTTTTTATGGTATACTAGGTTAGTGTCCGACTAGACTGATGGTCTAGTTTCTTGTTGAAAGGTTGATACAGTATGCATTTTCTATTCTGACATGACTGTATCTTTACCAGGTCCAAACAATCTTTATCCAGAAGATCTGATTCCCTTTACAAGATATCCACTATTCCTTGTTATCGATAGTGAAAATAGTCATGCATTCAAGGCAGGTTTGTCAGAACTTAATCTTAGCTTGGTAGATGAAAATCATTATCATGAGTATTTTGTTATTTTTCAGAGCCAAACTTACTACCCTGGATTGCCCATGCCTTTTGTTCTGTAGTTCCTATATGGCTTTATTTACATTCATTGTGGATGAAGGGTCTTGTATTCTCATTTGTTTTGAAGTTCCTACTATTTAACCTACTGTAATATAAAGCAAGCTGCAGTAGTTTTTTTCAACAGAGCATATGATTTTTCTTTCCATTTTCATAGATCACTGTATTGCTAAAATCTAGGCACTGGCTATCCATAGTAGCTTGTGAATCCATCATTTGATTCTGTATTTTTCCAAGTACATTTTAAAAACTTTAAACAAAATATTCTTTCAGAAAAAAAAGATAATTAACTTAATACTACGAAGGGTTTTCTCTTTTCATTATGTTTCTAACAATTTTTTTCCCTGTTCTTAAAAAAATGGGAGAACGAATTTCTTATATGAGCCATAATTGCAGGCTATACATAATGCAGAGAAGGGAGAGCCAGCTGCCTTGCTACTTTCACCTAGGATAGCATCAGCAATGCCTGGTGTGGAATCCACGAGTAATGGAAGCCAATTTACGTACTTCCTCACAGCTCCAATGCAAGCCTTCTGCCAATTAGCTGGGATAACTTCTGACATAGACAGCGTATGCACTTTCCTTGAAGAGTCGAGTATTTGTGGAATATTGATTTCTATATTTTGAGCTCTTCTGCTTGGTTTTCAGGATACATATGCTAACGCGGAAATCATACTTTTCTCCGCTTTGGAACAATATGAAGGAATCCTCTGCACATCTGTTGGATTGAACAACGTCTGGGGACAAATTTTACCAGATCCTTTTCTCAGGCGCCTGATCGTCAGGTACCTTTTTCCATATATCTCCACATTCAATGTTTTGACTATCTGCCATTTGGTTGGAAGGTTAGCATTGCATCATCGCTTGAAGATAGTATCTTGACCTCTTCCAAAACATGAAAGTGGTTATTTAACATGACTAGTTAATAGTACACAACTTGAGCTCCTGTCCATTGCGATATTTCCTGCAAACCGCCGGTGGGCTTGTGAACAAGTCTATGGAGGTGTAAAAGGGAACAGTGGAAGGATGGTTTTACAGCACCATACCTGTACATAATCAGAACTCTCCATGTTGCATTCCAAGACATTATTTTGTTCCATATTTATTGCATTGTGCCAAATCATATTCCTTCTTTTAATTTGCAGGTTTATTTTCTGCCGAGCAGTTATATTCTATTTTCACCCTGAGGAGAATGGTGAACATATACCAATCTGCCTACCCAGTCTTCCAGAATCAGTCGCGCCAAATGCTGAAGCCATCATGGCCCCCATCCTTGAGTTTGCAGAAAACCTTGTTGTGAGCGACCGGTTTCATTTCCGACATTCTGTCCACAACAATAAGAAATGATGATCAGGAGCAACAACTCAATCCTTCTGTAGATACCTCCATGGTATATAATCAAGTTATTTGTTGATTTGTTCGTATTTATACAGCAAACGGAGCATGATTCAGTATGAACAGGCTGCTGCAGCAGCTGCAGCTTGGAGAGGGTGAATGATTTATCATTTTTCGCTGCTTCATCTCCATTGAGCATCTGTACAAGTTTGGTTAGGTGGTCCTTACTTTTGATCTAGGCAGTGTAGGGCTTCTCTTTCCTTTTCTTTCGGTTTGTGGTGGAGAGGACAGTTTGTAAGCTGGAAGAGGCATTTTTTAGTACCCCGGAAGGCAAATTGTTTTTTAGGGTTAGCCCAATATTTTGAGAGTTAGTTTACTACCATCGGATGCATTGCGTTGCACATTTGTCTAGTGCACCCAACGTTTGTAATTGTTGTTTGTCCTGAATGAAGGGTTCTGGATTATTGTCTGATGTTCTTTCTCTACACTGGTGGTGATTATAGTTCGTAAAGTACTGAAATCCATCGCTGACGTTTCGGGATCATCTACTTTCATCTGACAACTTTGCTTTGAGATAGTCTTGCAATAAGGATCCAAGGTGTTAGCTCTGGGAAGGAACTATGAAGTACCTCTGGAAATACCAGTGGGAAGCATGTCTGTGCCTCACGGTCAGTCACAGCTGGAAATGGAATGGCAGCTCGTTTCTCCTTTTTGTCACGCGAGCGATGAGACGGGCTTGGTGTATGTTGTACTGGGCCTTTTTCTTAGTGAGACGCGAGAAGATGGGCTCATGGGCCCTTGGCTTCTCGTTTCACCCTAACTAGGCCGTGGGGTTAGGGGCGGTAACATTTTTTACAAGCAGCTTATCACAATCACCAAATCTCAGACCACTGCCATTAGAAGCCACCGTTGTAATGCTAGGACATCATTTAGTCCATCCACTTTAACTATATAAATATTATGTGATTTAAAATTTATACCATGATATAAATATTTCTAGGACACTAATTTCAATGCATGAAAATCTATATGTTTTTAGCCAATGAGATGCTCGGCAATGGCGGAGCCGGGCCTAGGGCAGTTAAGGTATGAGCCCTAGGCTCGGGCCAAAATCCCCTTTGAATTCTATATAAAAATTTTGAACATATATTGTGTCTAATTGAAATACACTGATTCAGCCCTACTTTTGTAATTTTCCTGGCGCCGCCCCTGATGCTCAGGAATTTAAGTAACTCAAAATTCAAAATATTCATAGAAATGAGGGTGAGCATGTGTATGTGAGTGTTCGTGTTTGTACCATGCTCTCAATTTTTTTTTTCAAATTTTGATCATTGAAATGACTAAAAGTTTTTTTTTTCATTTATCAAAATTTTTCCAAAGAATATGCTCATGGAGTATTTTGGAACGGATGAAATATCATGTACACAGAATGTGAATGCCATTTTAAACTCTTCTCGGAGAGGTTTTCAACTCTACTGGTGTTGTATTCCATACATGTTCACACATCACAGAGAGAAGACCAGATGGATCCCTCGGGAGGTCAGAGTTGATTTTTTTTTCTGCAACCCTGGTGCTTCCAGAAGGGGTATTATAGAGTTTGACATTGCAATATCCAATCAGATAAACTTGTAAACGCCATCCCATCAGCTCTCGCATGTTACCATAGCTTTCCGTTGTCTAGTTGACATTGCAATATCCAATTATCCATACATGATACATCAGATAAAACCAACGCAGCAGATCATGTAAATGTCGTCAGCTCTCGCATGTTTACGTTGCTTCTGATGTTGATTTGACGCTGCAATATCCAAACTATCAAAATCTACGTAGGATATCCTGCAAATGCCGTCAGCTCTCGCACGTTTACGTTGCTTCTGATGTTGATTCGAGAGATTTTCAATTCCACCGCCCACCCAGGGTTTGAAATTTTGGTTCAGAAATTTCACCCCCCACCAGCATGCTCAAATCTCGCCCAAAATTTTCTCTTTTTTTTATATTTTTTAAATTTGGTCAAATTTTAATCAAATTTAAGTCAAATTTTCAAATAATTTCGGCTCAAAATTTCTGAAATTTCGATGACCCCCGGTATAAAAACCAATTTTGAAATTGAAAACCCTGTGCCCACCGGTGCTTGAAAACTCATGATATTTCCGTGCTCCCACCATGTAACCGTGCCCATCGGTTGATCACCAGATGTACGCCACCTTCTTCCTTATTGACGTCAGGGGCGGCGTCCTCCGGCGGCAGGACAACTGGCCGAGGAACGAATCTAGAAATAAATTGTAGGGGAATCTGAACAAACTAGATAAACTTACATATTAGTAGTGGAGGCTTAAGCCCCCACCCCCATAATAGATCCACCACTGGCCAAGGCTGACGATAGAGCGAACGAACATAGCGACAGGGAGTGGAGCTAAGCATGCCCCAAGTCTCCTAACCTCCATTGCGACGAGGGACCTATGGTTGTAGAAGTTTCTGGAACCTTTGGAATCGAAGAGGCCGGTGATGAGAACTGGATCGTGTCTGCACCTCTGCGGGGTTGGAAAACACCCAAGGGGTTTGGAGTTTTCTTATCCGTACCCCTTGGGAAAAGTTGTAACGCGTAAATAACTTGAAAAAGAGGGTTCGTTTTGAAAAGTTTCCGCACCTCCCAGCCTCACCGGTCCCACCGTCGTCATTGCCGCCGTCGGCTACGGCCGCTGGTGATGCAGATCGTGAGTTCGCTTGCAGTTCATGCTTGTTTCAGTCGATGAACTGATGGAGTGATGGTTCATTTGAGTATGTAACTGTCGCTTGTTTCAGTGTTTTGAGATAAGAATGCATGTTTGATGAGTGCTTTAGAGATGATCCACAATTTTCTACGATTCCAGAAGAATTACAGCTTTTGGGGTTTACTGGAAGTGTAGCGTGGCTCAGCCTTCTATCTCTCGTTTGTTTTGAGTAGCCTATGTTTAGCAGTAGCCTCTTGGTTTTTCCTCCCCCACCTCCCGGCATAGGCCTGTTTGGCCGATTGCGTTGTGTAATTAAAACTATTTTTCTTCTAATATATTGACGCGTAATCCCTTTGTGCGTTCGGAAAAAAAAAGTACTCGTTGCTCTATTTGCTGTTGCTATGTTTCATATATAATTTTGTCTTAAATACGACTCTCTAAATTCATTCAGATAAGTAGTTCACCAATCATAGATTGATTTTACGGTCGCACTTGTCTCAAGACTGAGAGACAGAGCGTGTCTGCGCCTCTGTGGGGAAGAAGAGAGGTCAGAGGAGGACTACATGTGATCCAATGGTTGGAAAATAACCAATGGGGTTCGGAGTTTTATTTTCCGAACCCCCTTAGGAGTTGTAATGGGCAAATAGACTTGGAAAAGAGGGTTCGTTTGCAAAACTTTTGAACCTCCTGCATCCCCAATTCCCACCGTCGCCGGCAGATCGTGACGTGGTCTGATCTTTAGACTTTGGTGCTGCAATGCTTGTTGCTATCTTCCGCTGATGACGAACTGACGGAGTGATGGTTCATCCGGTAAATATCTGACTCTCGCTTGTTTCAGTTTACCGTGATAAGAAACTATTATATCGTACGCTTTGATGAAAGATTGTGGATGAGACACAGTTTTCAACGATTTCAGAGGAATTTTAGCTTAGGGCACCCACAATGGTTATCTATAGGCTCTCTACAAGAGATCCATATCAGCATATTTTTCTACTTGAAAGAGATTAAATGAAGAGAGAGAGAGCACAACTATCTACTAACCTAGAGATAGTCTATAGAGAAAAATGAGGGAATGGATTAGAGAGCTATAGATACCCATGTAGACATACTATTGAGGTGGTTTACTATTAATCTAGTCTATTGCTGAGATGTACATATTTTATAGAGAGCACCTTATTTTACCATTGCGGGTGCTCTTAGTTCTGAACTTCTGATATACATGTCGCACTAATTGCCGCTATCAAATTCAGAGTTTTGTCCAAACACGTCTGTCCAATTTCAGATTAGTTAGGGCATGTTTAGATCCATTTGGAATGGCAAATAGCAAAAATTTTGGTGGCAAAAGTTTTGGCATTGCAAAAGTATTAGTTGGTGTTTAGATGCATGTTAAAGTTTTGCCATTCTAGCACTAAAGTGAGAGAGAGAGAAAGAGAGAAGGAGTGGTCCCAAAGCACTTTTTGGCACAATTTACTACTATGGACTAGCAAATGCCAAATGCCAAATTACCAACTTTTGCTACTAGTGTTTAGATCCAAAATGGCAAAAAGTGTTACAAAATGGCAAAATGCCATTTTGGAGGATCTAAACAAGGTCTTAGTTCAAGCATGAGCAGGATTTGCTAGAAGCGGTTCCCAATCGGAACAGTGATCACGGGAAACGGAGCAGTCTATTAGCGCGTGATTAATTAAATAATTGCTGATTTTTTTAAAAAATGGATTAATTTGTTTTTTTAAGCAACTTTCGTATAGAAACTTTTGCAAGAAAAGCTGCGGTTTAGCAGTTTGAAAAACACGCGTGCGAAAAACGAGGGAGAGGGGTTGGGAACATGGGGATTGCAAACACACCACTTTACTCCAGCAGCTCGCCGCCGTCCGCCGGAGCCGGAAACCGTTGCCAGCGTCACCAACTCGCCGTTGCCTCGCCAACCAATGCCACGTTTTGCAAAAATACACGCAATTGTGTTAAGTTAAGCCACGATCTGCGACCGTGCACCCGTAATCGGATGGTTATAAAGTAGCCAAAAGCTACTCCGAACCCCCGCGCGGGACGAGGCAAGAGGCTCGCTTGGCTGGAACGCGAGACGGCGCGGCAGGGAGAGCGTTTTGCCGCTTCCGCGTGAATCGGAAACGGTCGGCGACGACGGAGCCGAGCCGCAGAGTGGTTGCGCACGACACGGCGCCGGTGTTCTCGTCTTCCGCTTCGGTTTCTTGGTTCTCTGTCTTTGTCCTCTTGGAGTTGCGTTGCATGGCGTAATATCATGGGTCAATCTGTTGTCCGATGGATGAACTTTGTGCTCCGATCGATCGCCGCCATGCCAACTGCAAACAGGGCAGCGACCTTGCTCCAGCTCCAGAGCGTATAAACCGCTCTGCACGACTGCACCCAATGGCTTGCTGCTAAAACTGAATTTTTTACTCAAAATCTTTTTTGAATATACTACTAGTATTAAACTGCTGCCCAAGAACGACCCGGTCTGTGAGTAGTATTATCCCAGCCTGGGCCGCATGCTTAACGGATAAGCATGCACAGTGCAGCGTTCCCATGGTTTTGTAATCTTGCATGCCGATCGATATAAAATAACCGACCCGCAGTAGCAAGTTCCAACCAGGCAACCAAGCATCCAAGCTCGTCTGCCCCTCTTCAGATCAATCAATCCCCTGCAAGAATTTAGCGTACATTATTTTTACGCCGTTTTCAAACTCTTTTCGCAGAACCGAACAGCGACGCCCACATGGAAAAACCGAAAAATAAAATGGCCCGTGTGGCCGTGTCCGGATTCCATGCGACCAAAAGTTCCTATTTACCCAGCTGCATTCGCCGATTGTTTAGTATCGCGAACAGTAGTTTCGTGATGACCGTATCAACGGAAAACTATTTTTAACTCTAGCTAATCTCTAATTATTTGCATGTCATGAAAATAATTAAAAAAATTAAAAAGATAGATTAATATGTGATAAATTATTTCACAAATATGCAAGGTCAAATTTAACTTCTACAAGTTATAGCGAAAAAAATAAATTTGACTGTGAATATACGTTAACTGGTCATAGTTTAATTTGTTTTTTTCGTTGTAACATGTAGAAATTAAATTTTAACTTATTTTTATAGAGTGATTTATTATATATTAATTATCTTATTATATTTTTTAATTTTTTTCATAGTCATTTAAATGACATACATATAAACAGAAAATATCTTCTCGAGGATTTAGGATCCACTCTCGCATCGATCAAGCCACACAATATGTACACGAGCAGAGGAGATCGCACAGCTCGCCTACCGGTGCGTGCGTGCAGAGCGAGCCAGCCAGCCCCCTGTAAAGTCGAATCGCCCACGGTTTGTACCGCCGGTAAACGCCCTCGCGACCCTTCGATCCCCTTGAAATTCTTGAATTCTTCCTGCCTCATAACGCACGAACGCACGTCACGAAGCTAGGTAGAAAGCTTCGTAGTCACTACACGAAACACACTTGCATTTGCACAGTTATCTCTCAATCGCCACGCGCGCTCACCGTCAGCTTTCTGCGGTCGCACGTATGTACTACGCGCTGGATATATACGTGTGTACAAGTGCAGGTTGCTCGGTTGTTTTGTGTAGTGTAGATGTGTGAAAGTTAAAACCAGCCGGGTCACTTCGCTTCCTGTGGCAGCACAGCTAGCGCGTGGCCATGGACGACCACCAGAGCAAGGTGCAGCGGCTGTACGACGCGTGCGACGCCGTCTTCTCGTCGGGGAGTAAAGCAGGGTTGCCGACGCTCAAGCAGATCAGGTGGCTGCAAGACCTGCTCGGTACGTTATACTCCTATCTTTCATTGCATCTTGGTTCATACGTGTGCAAATTAATTAATGTGTTGGTTCATTTTGCTGATTTTGCAGATGGCATGGAGGCGGCGGACGTCGGGATCGAAGGCGGCGGCAGCGGCGGCGAGAGGTCGTCGTCCTCGGAGGACGACGACGAGAGGAGCCCGCCGGGGCGGCGGTTTCTCTCGGCGCGGGCGTTCACCCGGATCACCTACGTGCACATCCACGAGTGCGACGATTTCTCGGTACGCATGCACGCGCGCGCAATCGCGCAGACGATGCACTTCTTCTTAGTATTTTTTTGCACTTTCGCAAAAGGGTGAGATGGTACCAATTTGACGCTCGATCTGGTGGCGGTGTTGCGCGGCTGCGTACGTACGTGCAGATCGGCGTGTTCTGCTTCCCGGCCGGCGCGACGCTGCCGCTGCACGACCACCCGCAAATGGTGGTGCTGAGCAAGCTTCTCTACGGCTCGATGCGGGTCAAGTCGTACGACTGGGCGAACGCGCCCCCGTGCTCGGGCCCAAGGAAGAGTAAGCATTTGTCTCAGCTGCATGCGAATGCATGCGCCTGTTTGCCGTCGATTCGCTCGCTGATGATCAATCGACAAAAAAACTCGATCGTTTTCTGATGTCAAGTTGTCAACTGCATCTAACATTTGTTCCTTGTCTCACCTACATATACTAGTTTGAGGTTACCTGGCTATGATCAAGGACAGAAAAAGGTCTCTGATAATTTACAAGCAGGATGAGATTAATACCTCCCTACAAAATCCTTGTAAAAGACGGTTTCAGATAGCCAAATCCCACCGATGTCTCACCAAACCAGCATTTTTTTTCAGCAATATAAACAGGAGAACCTATCTCTCCCTGTCCACTGCTCTACTCTTGATACAGTTTTTAATGGTTTGGAATTTGCAAAAGATAGCTCTCGCCTGAAACTGGAATAACTTTTTGGATACTTGCAGCCTCTGTCGATTAATTTTTGAATTACTACTAGCTTACTTCGGTTGGAAGCCCAAGCCACGTGCTGTTGGAAAAACAACAGTGTACATAGAATGAAACAACTGCACTACTAGTAGTATCAGAAATTGCCGTTTTTATACTAAGAAAAAAAAAAGAAAAGTAAGTGACGCCATCCCACTGCTTTCCAATATGGCAAGATATCCAAAAGTCCACCAATCCTCTCAAGAAGAGACAGTAACGAAATTCTCACAGGAATATAGTATTTTTCATGCAGGTGGTTTAGCCCGAGTGGTCGCCGTCGACGAGATGCGGGAGGCGCCGTGCAAGGCGTCGGTCCTGTTCCCGCGGAGCGGCGGCAACATCCACTCCCTCACCGCCGTCACGCCGTGCGCGCTCCTCGACGTGCTAGCGCCGCCCTACGCCGAGGACCTCGGCCGGCCGTCCACCTACTTCTCCGACATTCCCATCCCCTCTCTCCCTGGTACGCACACAACATGCATGCATAGGAATCGCTAACCTTCATTCGATATAAAATACCTTCAAATATTACATATTTTGGATCATTGGGTGTGCTTCACGTTTCATGCTCCTGTCTTTTTTTTTAAGCCCCGATGATCTCCTCATCTTTTCCAACACTGGCAACATTCCAAACTTTGATAGAGAACTTACGGATTAGAGTCCTAGGTTAGAGAAGTTCGTTAGTTTTAGAGGATAACCTAGGAGGCAACAGTTCGGGTGGGCAGCAAGGCGACCGCGGTATTGCCAAAACTACAGGGTCGGAAGTGGATAGTGGGCCGGTGGGCTGGTGGGGAAATGTAGAACAAAGTTAGGAGGTGGTGGCGGATCCAGTTATGGGGAGCCACGGGAAGATGGCGGCACAGGGGTAGCCGGCTTGAGGACAAGGTGAGGAGAGGAAGCGGGGAAGAGGCTAGCTTAGGGATCTTACCGATGTTGTTGACCACTTCTAGTCAGTTGACAAGCTTGGGTGGCAGCGGCGATGGTGGTGGTAGTGGCGATGAGGGGAAGTCGGAAGAAAGAGAGAGTAAGGGAGGGGTTTGAAGGTTTGGTTGTCTTGTACTCCCTCTGTCCCATAGAAAACCTAATAGGCTAGTACATATATCTAGATTCATTGTATTAGAATATGTCAAATCTAGTTTTAGATTTTTTTTTTGACGAAGGGAGTAGTACACAACATAAAGTAATCGGGCGGTCTAAAATATTAAAGGATTTTTTGTCAAATGATGATAGAAGGTCCCTAATTTGCATAGCAGCACAGGTGACCGTGGAATGATGATCTGTTGAGATTTCTGACAGTGTGATGGCTTTCTCTCAGGTTTTGCAGTACTGGAAGAGGCAGACTTGCCTGACGGTTTCCGTGTTGCAGGGGCCCCATATGTAGGCCCCGAGCTCACAATAGACATGGACAGCATGTATAATTAGATAGCTGATCTCTGCTTTTCCAGAGTATCAGATCAGATAGCTCTCACTGCTTTTCTTAAAGTAGCATTTGCATGGACAATACATTGCACCTCGCCATCTTGTATATACGATTATGCATGTGTGTTGTCGGTTTGTCTTTCTACCATGCTTATTTACCAGTTGGTGTTGGAATGCTTTTTTGACAGTTTTGCTCTTGTGCTCCTCTACGCAATGTCAATGGCTACCACTAGTTTTCTAAGCTGCCCACTGTTTGGAATAGACCTCTCCATTTATGAACTACTACTACGTACTCCTAGTTAACTTTGCATTACCGAGAATTAACCAGACCCGGTCTTTGGTGCCAGTATGCCACCTTTGGCTTAGCCTTATCACTCATACTAGAAAGGAGAGACCAAACCACATCAGGCAATGATCATTAGCTCGATTTCTCAGTTATTTATCACCATTCAATAATCGGCAATAAGCGGGTAACCCTGAAATCACAAGCTTACAGGTAGGTGCAAACCTGCCATCGGACCAAAAACTCATATATGAATAGCCACAACACTCTCATATCTGAGCAGCTCCTCTCGAACACCAACAGCTGGGGAGTCAGGGGACTAGCAGCTCGTTCGTCAGAAGTCCACCAGGACCACCGCCTTGGACGTCGCCGCCACCTCCGCCTCCACAGGCGGCGGCGCCGGGGCATTGGCGACACGGCAGTTGCGTCGTATCTCTCCCTTCCTGGGGTTCTGCAGCTCCCCCATCTTGATCATCCCTTCGACGAAGGCCCTGAAGAAGGCGCCCTGGTCCTCGCCGAATTTCCTCACGGCGAGCCGGGTCCCGGCGTTGTCGGAGAAGAGCGTCTGGTCGGAGTTGAGGAAGCCGCGGAGGCGGACGAGGTCCTTGAAGTACTGGTTGTCGAAGACGAGCGGGGTGGCGTCCATGCCTCCGGTGACGTTCTCGTCGCCGCCGCGGGGGCAGAGCGAGTCGAGCCCCGCGCGGTAGGCGGGGTCCATGTTGGGGTCGGGCCTGCCGGAGCCGGACTGGTTGTAGAGGCGGAAGACGATGGAGAAGCAGCGGGCCTCGCCGATGGAGTGCGAGCCGGAGAGCGCGACGAGGTCGGTGACGGTGAGGTTGTAGCCGGCGAAGAGCTTGATGAGGGTGGTGGCGTTGGCGCGTGGGCTCGGCATGATGTTGTCCGAGTCCTCCTGGCTCGCCGTCAGGCTGTCCTCGCGCCCAAGCCTCACGTCCCAGAAGGGCCCACCTGTCTGTGATACAGACACAAGAAAGGAGGAGAGAGAGTCAAATCAAGTCAATAATTTCACTGACCAGCCAAACGAACCTGGAAATTAACAACCCAAATCTTCCAATGTTACAGCATTGTGCAGACATGGATATTGATTGCAACGTATGATCATTTATTTGTATCTACATTTGTACATTTGCATGCAAAACAGCAAATTCAACCCAAGATCGTAATGACAATAAGAGCATTATGTGTTTTGCTTACATCCAAATTAGTACGGCCCACTCATGACAGAACAGTTCAGTTACTAGTACAGTTAAGAGCCGCTGTTTACGTTATCAAATGTCAGAAAATGAAAATGCAACGGAAGGATAAATCATACTCGGCTCCATGTCAACCGCGTGAAAAGTGTAAAACTCAAAAAGAACATGGCTAGCTAGCAATCTAGCATAGTGACAAATCGGCAGCGTGACCCACTGCGAAAGCAATGCTGCTTTGTCTCCGTCCTAGGTCCTCCTCCTCCCCTCGGCGATGAGCCATCAACAAGGACAAGTTTTGACAGCACCCCGACACAGTACACGATCGCCTGCACGGAAAAGTCTAAAAAGGACTATACAACTGCAGCTCCGGCCGTTCGGCTTCACGTACGTAGCCATGGCCCCTAGCTCCCCCACCGTCCGGCCTTTCCCGGCTCGCTGCACGGCGGCTACGTCAAACGCGCTTGTCTTGTGCACGCCGAGGGGACGGTTCATGCAACCTTGCCCCCGCTTGATGTTCAGTGTGGTGGTTACAGGGAGCACGGGTACATGCACTGTACCGTCCCTATCAGGGGCATAGGACTATAGTGCACATGAAAGGATAAGGGAGAGGAAAACGAAAGATGGTTTTGACAATTCGGGTCACTGATTCTTTCGGAGATTTTCGTCAGTCCCTATGATTTTCAAACACACGCACACACGCCTTTGTTTTGGATGATTCCGAATGGAATTCATGCGGAGTAATCCAAATTTCAAGTTCATATGAAACGGCATGTGACACACACGTGACTACGGCCACCGTACGCACGATGACGAGAGCGCCAACCGCCGGATTTTACTCCCAGGCGAGGCGATTCTCAATCGCTCGTTGGTTCGTCAACGAGGTCAGGGCTGTGTTGTGCCACCTGGGTTGGGGGTGACCAACCATGCAGCGAAGAGATGAACTAACTTTTTGTTCGTTACGCATAGGCGTTGCATCGCACAGCGGGCAGCCAGCCATGACAAAAAACGATCGAGATATTTGGCACTTTTCTTCCTTGTCTTTTGCCTGGGGGAGGCTGGGTGCCTCCTGAGAGGAGGGAAATGCCGGGTTGGGGAGAGGCAGAGGCGGAGCAGCGGATTTTGCACGGAAACGCGAGGAAAATGGAAGAGAAACGTAGTACTACTAGTACTACTACTAGAGTGGGCGTGGACGCGGCGGGGCGGGGCGGGAGGGGGTGTGTGTACGTACCAGGGCGACGGCGTCGCGGGCGGCCATGACGATGATGTCGGCGCAGGAGACGACGCCAGGGCAGCGCTCCTCCAGCGCCTCCTTGATCTCGTCGACGACGTCGAAGGAGCGGAGCGAGTTGATGTTGGAGAGCGCCTCCTTCTCCCCCGCCATCGTCGGCGTTGCGTCCATCAGCACCGACCCGTCGCACCCCTGCTCGAACACGACGAACCAAATCACGGCAGATCGCCCGATCAGATGGAGAGAAAAACCAAACAAAAACAAAACACACACACACACACACACAGAAACCCACGAAGAGTGACCGCGAGAGGGCAGATCGGTTCGCGGCACGGCGGAGGAGGAGAAACGGAAGAATTCGAATCGCATCACCGATACGAGGACGTACGTTGACGAAGCAGTCGTGGAACTGGAGGCGCATGACGGACGCGACGCTGCGGGCCTCGTGCGCGCGTGCCCGGGCCATGGTGTCGCGGACGACGGCCTCGGCGTCGGGGCACGTCTCGGCGTAGTACCCGACCCTGAGGTCCCTCACGGCCGCCTCCGCGCCACCACCGCAGGAGAGGACGAGCGCGACGACGACGACCGCGAGGACCGTGGCCGCAGCGAAGCCGCCGCCGCGTCGGAGGAGGAGGAGCGCCATGGCGAGGAGGAGGAGGAAGCACCGAAACAGACACGCACACGCGCAGGTGGGGGATTGTTGCTGCTGCCTGCCTGCCCTGCCTCCGCTTCCGCCTGCGGGTCTGTCTGTCTCTGCTCGATCTCCTCTGCTGTGCTCTGCTCTGTACTACTAGCGCCCGGGCGGGGTGGTGGGTAGTTATAGAAAAGGGGAGGTACGTGTCGGGTCGGGACGGGGAGAGGAGTCGAGACTCGAGACGGGAGGGTGGGAGACACACGGGCCGCGCGGTGCAGGGGAACCCAGCCGGCCAGTGGTGCACTGCACGGACGGACGGGAGGACGCGAGGTGGTTTGGCTGTTGTACAGGGTAGAGTACGGCCGGGCGCGGCGCAGGCTGGCATGCGGGTGCGGCGTTGGTGAATGGTGCTGACCGTAGCGTACTAGCGCGTGCGTCAAAAATATCAGCACGGGTGCATCCGGTGATAGGGAGTAGGGAAGGAGGGGGGCATTGACTTGGGGCGCGTTCTAAGCAGCTACTTCACGTTTCACAATGTAAATCATTCTAGCATTTTTCATATTTATATTGATGTTATGTCTAGATTCATTAACATTAATATGAATGTGGAAAATGATAAAATGACTTACATTATAAAACGGAAGGAGTACTAGCCTTGGCTATCTCTTTGTTTTTAGGGAGAGCGTTTTCAAACCGTTAAATGGTGCGTTTTTTATGAAAACTTTATATTACTTTTTTTGAAAAAGTATGGTGCCGTTAATTTTTCGTACAATGTTTGATCATTCGTCTTATTAAAAAATTTTAGTATAAATATGTAAAAATGTGAGTTAAATTATATTTTATTTAATGATAAAACATGTCACAACAAAATATATGATATATATGTTTTGATTGGACAAATGATCAAACGCTACACGAAAAGTTAACGGCGTTAGACATTTTAAAATAGAATGAGTATATATAGAAGATATTTAAAAAAATCAAATAAATCTAATTTTAGGGTTTTATTAATTAATAATCCCTCCATCTATTTTTCACAGTCATATTTCTAAATCTAAAAAAATTATTTTTGATAGACATATTTCAATCCAACAACCTATCATCTTAATGATTTTCTCGAATTTAATGCGTTAATCTCCATTCTTCCACACAAAACTGCCTACATGGGCATCGAGAAATGTAAATATTAATGAATCGCTTGTTACGAGGAATGACTAGTAACATGTTTAAATGGATGATAAGTAGACTTATTTATCCTTGGTCTGTGTGTCAAGATGAAATATAACTATCAAAAGTAGATGGAATGAGTATTTAATTAGTTATATGTTAATCATGTTTATTTATTTTACGTGTAGTTAATAAGCTAAAAACATAATCAAAAGGACCTTTTAGCTATGGGACACTGATTGTGTAGTGTGTGATGACCGCGAGTTGAGTGTGATTGACGATGGTGTGTGTGGTGTGGATTTTGATTTTTGTTCATGTTGACCCAGGAACCGGGATGGAATCATGGGAACATGGGGAGCAAATGGAGAGCAGCGGTGTAAAAAACGATGGTGACTTGGGGTCTTTTTCCGGTTGGAAAAAGAAGGCGTAGTATTTTAGTGCCATTCTTTATTAGGAAAAATAAAGGCACAAATATTTAATGATATATAAGAATAAAAGATAGAAGTAGCTAAAAGTAGATAAACATAATAAATAAGAATAAATACATAATCAATGGTGAGACTCTTCCACACTAGGTCAAAGATAAAGATAGTTGCATAGGCTTTGGCACAGCTATACAACAGAGTAAGATTTACCTTATCGTAAGAGGCCGAGTCAAGTCTTCTCGTGTATATATCGTGCATAATGACTAATAAATTTTATCAAAGTTTTTATAAAAAATTGTACATATACTTCTAATAGTATTGTTTGTAATGTCTCATATTCACATTTATAATATACACGTAGCATAAAAAAATTCTGTCAGATTTATAACCTTTAAAACTGTCAAATTTTTATTCTTTTGCGGCTAAAACATAACAAATATGAGGTTAAAACTTTACACATAAGTGTAATACTATTGAAAGTACATGTAAATTTTTTTCAATGATTTTTGGTAAACTTTGTTAGCTAGTGCGCACGATGTGTAAAAAAGCCTGTGTACACATAATATGTTCTCGGGTTACCACACCCTAGCAGTAAGAGCGGTTATCAAGCAGTAACCTTGGTATTACGGTAAACCGTGAAAAGCACACAAAATTTATGAAAAAAAATCTAATTATTTTAATAATTCGTTTGAGTTTGATGGGGTTACCATGTGTTTTCTATTACTACTAGATGGGTACCCCGCGTGTTGTTGTGGGAGAATTGTGTGATAATATAGTATATATGAGTTCTAAAATTTTCTTTCTTACCTACTATACTATTTTTTTGTGTGCATGTTTATATATTTTTGTAACTTTATCAATTATCCAAAGGTTATAAATGATTAGGTTGTATGGTGTGCCTTTAGGAGGAAGATGTGCAATTTACACTCTTGCTAAATCATCAAAAGACTAAAAACAATTAAGGTGATATGAAGAGATATATTTTACACTCTTGATGAATCATCCAAATGCTAAAACCAATTACACAATTTCTTTAGTAACCCATAGAATTGTCTGCCATGCATGGGAGGGTAGATAAACATACTAATAAAAAAAACCTTGTTGTCACCTCTATCTCTCCAAGTGGTGTAGTAGCACTAGGCCTACTATAGTGTACAACAACAGTAGAAAATACCCCACGTCTTAGCTGTGGGATTTGTTAAATTTAGCATTGTGTAAAGATTGAAATTTAAAATTATCGGATGAAAATGTTGCTTCAAGGTTTTTTTTTTCAAAGCATCATTTCATTGAAGAAAAATATAGGAAATGAATATGTACTAATATAAAATCAAAATATTACGTGCTTGTTTAACCTAGATACTGCAATTTGATTGTACTGCATCGATCTCCCATTTAGTTCGTATTCCTCATCACGAGTTGTTACTACATATATAAGTATTAAAAGGTAGGGAGGAGAGAGTCAACAAATGTTGATAAGTAACTCCTTGATCTAACTATTGGTAATTTTATACTAACATGATCAAACACTTGGGATTACTTATATTGTGTATCTAGTTAAAAGTGGAGAGGAGGGGATAGAGATGACTAATATAAACCGATAAGTAACCCATTCTAATGGTTGATAATTTTATATTAACATAACCAAATGGATTAGGATAAGAGAGAACTAATGAATGCGAATAAGTAACTCTTGGATCCAACAGTCAATAATTTCATATTAACATAATTAAATGGATTAGGACTACTAATTATGTGTATCTAGTTAAAGGTGGAGAGAGAAGGGCTAGAGATGACCAATGAATAAGATAAGTAACTCCTTATCTAACTGTTCATAATTTTATACTAGCATAGTCAAATGGATTAGGACTACTCATTATGTGTATCTAGTTAAAGGTGGAGAGGAGGGACATAGATGACTAATGAAAGCAGATAAGTAACTCTTTATCCAATGATAGATAATTTTATACTAGCATAATCAAATAGGTTAGGATTTGATCGAACGTTTGACAATTTTATACTAACATAATTAAATGGATTAGGATTACTCATTATGTGTATCTAGTTAAAGGGGAATAGGAGGGGTAGAGATGACTAATGAATGCGGATAAATAACCACTTAATCTAACGGTTGATAATGTTATACTAACACAATCAAATGTCTTAGCATAAGAGAGGATTAATAAATAAGAACAAGAAACTCATTGATCCAATGGTTGGTAATTTTATACTAACTTGAACAAATGAGTTAAGATAACTCATGATGTGTATCTAATTAAATGTGAAGAGAAGTGGTAGAGATGACTAGTAATGAACATGGATAAGCAACTTCTTATCCAATAGTCATGATACGTAAATTCGTATAATAGATTGAATAAATCTTGTCAACCTGATTTTATACATGCTATTATTATTGATAGTATAAATACTATAATTTTAATCATACAATAAATATGTTGGCTATGTTCCAGAGTTATAGCCAAATAAGGATTCTATGATCTATTAGTTACGACTTACTAAATATCCATTTTAAATTTTAAAATAAATTAATAAAACAATAACTGAGAGTCCAACTTAGGTGCAACTTTTTTTTAAACCGGCAACAAACGTGCCAATTTCATTGGAAAAAGTAGGAGTAAAAAGTTACTTGTACAATTAAGAAAAAACTGTACAAGAAGTAAATACAATACTTGCTGCTTTAAGTTTTCTTTTTTAACGTTTGACCATTCGTCTTATTTACAAGACTATGAAATTATTATTTATTTTTTATTGTAACTTACTTTATTATCAAAAGTACTTTCGGTATGACTTATTTTTTTTATATTTGCACTAATCTTTTAAATAAGACGAAAGTATAATATCAAAATGACATCTAATTTGGGACGGATGTAGTAAAATACTATGGCAGCATAAGTAAGAGGTGCTTTGCGCCTGTTGCAACACAAGTTCTGGCCTCTTCGATCTTTGCTCTGAAAGATGATGCGATATAAAGCTTTTTGTGCTGGAAAACTCTAGGTGCAGCTTGATTTATTGATTCTAATTTTTTGAAAAAAAAATCAACGGAAGGATCCACGATATTGATCATGTTTTATTCAGTTCAGAGACAAAGTAAAAGTTAAAGAGTTCATGTTATTTTCGACTGTATATTTTTAACAATAATTTTCAATAGATCTAGAATCATATATCCACCTAACTAATAGTCAACTGCTAGATATATTTTAACATGGGAATTTTCTTATAAAAAGGTTTCCAATTTATATAGGTTTAACAACAGCATGGGAAAAAACTCAATTAACATATATTCAAGTCTTAGTATTTTTCAACAAGACAATTAGGCTGTGTTCGCTATAACAAGTTCCCATCCGGAACAGTGATCACGGAAAACGGAGCAATCCATTAGCGCGTGATTAATTAAGTATTTGCTATTTTTTTCAAAAATGGATTAATTTGATTTTTAAGCAACTTTCGTATAAAAACTTTTTTGCAAAAAAACACACCGTTTAACACTTTGAAAAACGTGCGCGTAGAAAACGAGAGAGAGGGGTTGGGAAAAGGCGCATCCGAACACAGCCTTAGTATGGTTTTGAAACG